CTCGCGGTCTTGGTGGCCTCGTTGTCGTCGCAGTAGCACTTGTGCTTCGCGAACAGCGCGCGCTCACTGTCGCCCTCGGGCGCGCGGCACCGGGGGGCGATGCGTTGTGTTACTGGCTGGCGGCGGGAAGGAGGAAGGGAGGGAGGGAGGGAGGGAGGGAGGTGGAGGAGGAGGAAGAGGAGGAGGAGGAGGAGAAGGAAGAGGAGGAGAAGGAGGAGGAGAAGGGAGGGGGAAGGAGGGGGAGGAAGGAAGTGGAGGACAAGAGGCAGGACGATGCGGAGGAGGGGGAGGAAAGCCGGGAGGAGGAGGAGGAGGAGGAGGAGGATGAGGAGGAAGAGGAGAGGCGGAAGGGGGAAGAGGCGGAGGACAGAGTAAGGAATGAGGAAGGAGAAAGAAAGGAAAATGGGAGGGAATGAATGAAGGGAGTGAGGGAGAGAGGAAAAAGAAAGCAGTGCGAGGGCATTGTGTCCGACCGTTTTTCACACCAGCTGGTCCGCCCCAGCCTAGTGTCTGCCTCCCGCTGCCCGCGGGTGAGCAGGTCTTCCACGATACCGCCCTCCATAGGGTTTCGAGCGGCATGGGCGGCGCTGGTACTGATGAGTGGGAGCGTCGCCCCTGGGTGCAAGCAGCGCGGCCCCGCCGTTGGGAGGACGTATCCCTGTTGGGGCATGTTCGGCCACATGGTGGGAGGAACGGGACAGCAAACATGACAAGTTCAGTGAAGAATGGAGGACGGTGGCGAGCCCCAAATGTGAAATTATTTGTCAACATTGCGGTTGCCGAAAGAACCCCTAGGGAACGATGCATTGCAAGCACTGTGGCCAGAAGCTCGGAAACCGTCCCCATCAGCCCGAGGTGCCTGAGTATGGCCATCGCTGGGAAGAGGAGGTTGGCAAGGGTGCTGGCAAAGTGGGGAAGAGAAGGACGGGTGGCAAAGGTGAGCCGAGGAAGGGGAAAGGACCTGGGGGGTCCTCTCTGGCCCTTCCCCCAGGGCCCATCCCAAAGATACCTCAGTCCAAGGCGCTCAAGCTGCAGCGTCTGGCTCAAGCGGCTGGCGACTCTGAGGGGGCGGCGCGCTATGCCGCGCTGGCGAAGCGTGCAGCCCCACCGCCCAGGCCGCCAGGACGCCAGAGGCTCATCGAGGCGGAGCAGAAGCAGGAGAAGCGTTGGAGAAGAAGCTCAACGCCGAGTTCGAGCGATTGCAGCGCTGGAGGACGGCCACACAGGAGCTCGCGATCACGGTCAAGGAGATGCAAAGTGAATTACAACGGGCTGATGCCGAGGTCGCCGCAACGCTTGCGGAGCTCCAGAGCCAGCACAATGTGCGGTCCGAAGTTGTGGGGGCCAAGCCGCTCATCAGTCTCCACAAGCTCATCGAGGCAGAAGTGGAGTTGGCATCTGTCACCTCTGCGGGTGACTTTATTGATGCGGAGGCCGTCAAGGGCAACTCTGAAGTATCGGAAGAGGACCTTCGGGAGCTGGAGGATCGCAAGAACGACACGGCCAAGCAGATGCAGGAGGTGCTCACCATGGTCTTTCGGCAAGCGATGGACAAGGCGAACGAGTGCCAAGACAAGCACAAGGAGCACATCAAACGCCTGCAAGCGAAGCGTCGTCGAGTCGATGCGTCTGAAGGTGACGGCGCTGAAGCAGCAGCTGAACCACCTCCTGCAGCGACCCCTGGCCAATGCGAGTCCTCGGCAGCAGGGCCGTCAGAGACGCAGCCAGCAGACAGGCCAACTCCCAGATTGGATATTCGTGCTCGTGTGGCCGCTGACCCAGGCGCGCAGGCGGCAGGGAAGTCGGGGCTGTAGCCGGACGGAGTCAGCGGGTTCGACGTTGCCTGGGACGACGCCATCGCCTTCTGCAACTCCACGTACCTGGTCCTCGCTCGGCGCCAGCCCTCCTGAGAAGGCATTCCCCCTTGAGGGGAGGCGGCCCAGTCTGCGTGCACCCACCAGCCTGGCGGCAGGTGCGAGTTCTCGGCTGGTGGCCCCGCTGGAGGAGGCGGCACCGACGGCGTCGTCGATTGCCACGGGTGGATCGTCGAGCCCCTCTACTTCGGTGGCTCCGCCAGCCACGATGTCGGCAATGCACTCCTCATCGGTGTCGCTGTTGGCGTCAGTTGCGGCCACTACCTGTTTTGTCGGATCGGGGGTCGGGCGCTCTGAGTTTTTTTGAACTCAACGCTCCACCTCTACATCTCGACATGGGAGGTCGAACGTTCCGAGAACGACCAGCACGAGCACCCAGACGAAGTAGAGCAGCGGCACGAGAGGGACGTACAGCTGCGCCTCGATGAAGGCGAGGCCACCTCTGATGCGTTGACCTTCGATGACGAATTGACCACACCCCATGCCCAGCGCCGTCCAGCGCGCGCAAGCCCACGAGCGGGAGCCACATACAATACCTGGAAGCCTTCGGCCACATACGACACCAGGAAGCACCCGATTCGCAGAAAAAGACACTGCGTGACGCGGTGAACAGCACCAGACACAAGATGAGGAATTCAGCGCGAAAGCAAGGCAGACTTTATATAGTCACCCGACAAGCGGTCCTTCGCCTGGATCTGGAGGAAGCCCGGAAGGCACCCACAGCGGACGACCAGAATCGGCATCGGGTAGGTTCAGCGCTGCAAAGGCCCTCGCCACGGCCTCCCGCTGGGCCCCCAGGGCCCTAGGCGAAGCACGCGCGGCCTCCAGCGCCTCATACTTCAGCACCTCTGCGTCCAGGAGCTCGTCCAAGGTGCTGCAACAGCCCCCCTCCGCCGCAGGTCTTGGGCCAGCCGGCAGATCTGGAAGTCTATCAGCACGAAGCGGCCCCCTTGGAAGAAAAGCACGAACTGGAACCCCACCTCCCTAGCGCAGCCCTTCGACAGGACAGAGGCCCAGTGACGGCGCCGAAGTAGAAGACGACTTGCGACCAGCTGCGACAAACTCGGGGGTGGTCTCCTTAGACGGCACGTCGCAGGCAGGGCCGAAAACATGCCCCTCGCCGCCGTCGCCAGCGCAAGCCAGGGAGGCGCCCTCGACGGCCTCGATCAACCCCGACTCCGAATAGCCAAGCACACCAGGCAGCGGCAAAAAATCCCAACACGAGCCGAGCGGGCCACAAGGGAAGAACTCCGCAGCGTCAGCGTTGAACGCGAAGCTCTCTGCCTCCGCACGGGCCTCCAGCCTGGCCCCATTTTACTGCAGCCGCCGCAACTGCTCGATCGGCGCAGTCAACACTCGCACACCGCGAGCGTCGGAATGCAGGGCAACGTTCCTTCTCACAGCTAGCGCCGCGACGGCACGCGCCCTGCTCGCTTCTCCCCAAAGGCCGGCGCCAGCGCGACGTTGCGATCGGCCAGCTCCGCGCACCCGAAGATGGTGGCGAGGCCACCGATGATCGCCTCGAAGTCCGCCTGCACCCGCTTGAGCTCGTCGGAGAGCTTGATGATCGCACGATCGGCAGACTGCCTAGCCCACAGCTTCCGTGCCTTGCGGCCCTCGGGGCTGCGGCGACTTGGGCGTGCAACTCCACGCCCCCCCGTCGCCATGGCCGCGCCCGAGCGAAGGGCCCGCCGCATGGCTTTCGCCAGAGGCAGATCTAGGACCCGCGCGGGCGATGGCAAGAGCCGAAACGGCTTGAGCCAAAATGGCAACGGACCCCCCCCATCTGAGTCAAATTGCGAGGAAGCGGTGCTATTGCCCGGAGCGACACCAAGTCTGAATGCGGCCGCCAGGGGCTCAAGCCTGGCGGCCTTCTCGCCCAAACCTTTTGCTGCATGCAGGGAGAGAAACATTGCGTCAGGATGCTCGGGCCCTGCGGAGGGCACGACTGCTGTGGATTTGTCAGAGCGCGACGACCAGGTGCTCCTCGAGCCTGGTCGTCCCAGAGTAGATTGCGAGAAGACTTTGGCATCAGCAATGGATGCGGGAAGTCAGAACGCCGGTGGTGGGTGCTCCTCGAACCCGCCACCATCACGAGTACGTTGCGAACAACCCCTGGCTAAGTCTCGAGCGGATGGCACGGCCAAGCAGGTCATCTCCCTCCAGGGATGCCTTCCTCCTGAAGAAGCTGGCGCGCAAGGGCCCTTCAGAGCTGGCACCATGAATGCGAATACCTGGCCCAGAGCGCGCATCACTATGCCCTGGATCGAGAAGCAGTGCCAAATGCCCCACGCGCCGTGCATTCAGGAGACAGTACCGGACCCCTCGGCGGAGGCAGGTGCATGCCAGCGGACCCACAATTGCTCTCGGAACCTCGCTCTAGGAAAGTCTGAGCGCACGGGGGGGTCTGCCAGGGCACTGTCAGCGGGAGTTGGACTATCTGCAGCCATCAGGATAGGCGTGGCCAAGTTGAACATCCCTGAGAGAGGTGGCAGCATCGAGTCGCGATGAGGCTCATGACCCTGGGAGCCAATTCTTGGATCACCATCGGCTCGGTCTACGGAGTTGACTCGATCGGTCCCAAGGGAGAGAACCTCGAGCTGCTGGAGTTTCTCAGTGCCCCCCTGGGCGCCCAGCGCTTCCCCTCCTGTTTGGGGGGCGATTGGAACCTGGAGCCAGAGGAGATGATGGAGCTCGGCTGGCTGGATTTGGCGATGACGACAATCTTCGCCCCTGGGATGCCCACCTGCAATGGGAAGGAGTACGACTACTTCATTGGCTCCCAGACCCTGGACGCGTTCCCCATGAAGGTAGAAGCGAGAGTGGATGCGCGGATTTCGCTACGCTGCTACGTGGAGATCATGATTGACGGGGGGGCTCCGCCGAGAGCTTTCCCACTTGTGAAGCAGGAGGGCAAAAGGAAAGCCCAGGGGAAGGCCAAGAGCGCCAGCGTCGTCGACCTCACCACCGTGGCTGCGCCCCCTTCGGTTCAGGCGTTGGCAGAGTGGCAGCTGGACGCCCCCTTCGACCCTGTAGAAGATGCAGCAGCGCGTTGGTTCACGGCGGCTGAAAAAAGTACTTGGTGCAGGTTTTCGAGATCCCTCTCTTCGACAGACGACTGTATGTTGGTAGGGCAAAAGGGCTTGTGCTGAAGAAGAAGCGACTGGCAGACTGCTCCAAGTCCATCCTTGAGCGCCACGATGAGACGGACACCAGGTTGTGGGTGAGCGCGCCCAGGCATTGGGATGCCCTGTGCGCGGCGCCCTCAGCTCCGTCGGGGTCGAGAGCAGGCCGACCTGAACACGTTGAGCGATGCGAGAAGAAGCCGATGGCCCTTGAGCCCCCTGAGGCCATCTCGGAGCCCCCATCCATGAAGGCGAAGGAGGTCCAGAAGTGGGTTGCCTTGGCCAAGAGAGGAGGACGGTTGTCAGTCTGGTTTCGTGCACTGCTATTGGAGGAGGTGGATGAGCGCAGGCGTCAGGACTTTCAGGCCAGAAGTAAAGCTTGGCGTGAGTTCGGGACATCAGCAGCTGAAGGCTCTGGAAAGCTGGCCCACGCGATTGCTCAGCCCAAAATGCTGGAGGAGGCGCCCACTCCTGGCCAAGGGTTAGCCACGCGGGCTGATCGGAGCGGCTGCCATCACTGCAATGCTGGAAGAATGGGAAGAACTGTGGATCTCCGACAGGGTGCAGGAGGCTGCGCCGACTGACTGGAGCTACCCGTGGACGCTCGACCCGACTTCTGAAGACCAGATCATGCAGGTGCGTCGCTCGCTCAGTCCGTCTACTGGCCTGGGCTGGGACAACTTCCACATGAGGCTGATTCGTTTCTTGGATGGTATGCTTGTGCTGAGGTCGCAAGAGATTCTCACGAGCTGGGAGCGAAATCCTCAGCGCAGACGGATACGGGTAACGACCAATGTGCTTCTTCCAAAACCAGATGATGAAAGCAGGCCCATCGGCCTTCTGTGTTTCTGGGCGCGTATTTGGCGCCGTTGCAGGAGGCGATATGTCAAGAGTTGGGAGGACTCAGTTGATGCCAAATTCTTCTGGGGAAAGGATGCGACAATCAGCTGTGGCAAAGCGGCAGACCTGCATAACATGCTGGCGCGCCACGCTAGACGGAAGAGCTTATCTGCGATAACTGTGCGATATCCGCAAGTTTTACGGGAAGGTTAGTCACCAACAGTTGAGGGAAGCAGCAGAGCACTACGGATTCGACGGCGCCCCGCTCAAGGCGCTGCATTGCCTCTACCGCGCGCCTCGCAGGGCAAGGCAGACGGGAGGGACCAGCTGAATTAGTCATCCGAATGGAACGATTGTGGCAGGATGCAGCGCGGCAACTGGAGTTTCGAAATTGGCAGTGGAGACTCCGCCCTGCCGGGCTCTGAATGCTGTGGGCGACTTGACGGCGCGCACCATCGGAGGACCGCGGACAGTGGTCACGAACACGACTGCCAGTTTCGAGGCTGTCACACCGGAGTTGGAGTCGAGTAAGTTGCCAATCAATTTGGACAAGACCAAGTTCATGATGTCGAATTACGGCCAGTTACCTGAGTTGCTACAGGATTCCAGATGGAGGCTTTCAGACGACAAGCTGATCATCACACACCGCGACCTCGGCGGCGACTCGCTGGGCGGCTGGGCTCGACGAGTTGGCGCGCAGGCGTCGAGGTGTGCAGCAGCCCGCAGTACTGGAATGGCCCTGAGACAGCTCGGGCAGAGTGAGGAGCACAGCCGTGTCTATCGTGTAGGAGCTCTGCCTAAAGCCATGCGGGGATCCCATAGTTTGGGGACTCCGCCGACCACCCTTCATAAGCTTCGGGATCAAACTGCGAGATCCTGGGGCCCCCGTCCCCCCATGGTACTTCTCTGGGCTGCAGGTTTCTCTCGGCCTCCCGCCACTGGATCAGGGACCCGCTTTTGGTGGCGGCAGCATCGGCTGCAAAGGAATTCGTTAGTGTCTGGTGGGCCCGCTCGAGTTCGAAACAAGTTTTAGAATCCTGCGTTCAGGACGCCCTGGCGGTCCAGGGGTGAAGGGCCCCCTGGGGCCACGTTCGCCAACCTGTCGCCGCGCTTTTCCTGCAGCTTTCTCGGATCCACTGGGTGCTTGACGTTTCGAAGATGGCCTTGGTGGATGACCTCAACAGGGAGTGGTCGATTGATCGTTTCTCGCCCATGTTTCGTGATCCTTCTGCGTGGTTCGATCGTTCGGGCCATTGAGCGGGAAGAGCAGTTGAAACAATTCGATTTCTGTCAGTGGGGTGGCCCCTCTTTCTAGCTCCTCGGGCGCAAAGTCTCGAAGGCTTGGACTAAAGCTCACAAGGCGGCACTGTCGGCGCTTGCGGCGACTGTGCACTGGTGACAACACAGAGTACGCGAGCACAGCCCCGAGGCCCCCGACCAATGTCAGCTGTGCAG